TGCATTCTTTACTTTACTGTTGGTATTTGTGAATACTTAAACACTGATACGAGGCTAACCCTGTGCAAATGAGTCTGTAATCAAGGAACACAGCGGTAACTTGGAATTCGAAACTGGTCTATTGTGAGTAGATGACGTCATTTACTCAACCCTATTATTCTTTCTGCTTTTGAACCAAAATTTCTCAACTGCAAGTGGCTCCCAGGCTAAAATGTTCACTAATCTGGTTTTCATAATCTTAATTGAGTCATATTATCCTCAAATGCTTCAATTACTCGTACTTTCAAAAATTTGGACGTTTTCATCCAAGTGCCCCTTTAAGAAAACTCATGCATTTTGGCAATAATTATCATTTGCGTACTATAACAGTACTAACTTAGAAAACGTTAATTCGATGTCATTCTCTTTCACAGTACTGCTGAGACACGCGATATTTGGTTTTCTGCTTTAACCAAGTAAGTCAAGTCATAAGAAATAATATTCCTTAGTCTATACTTACAAAATAGCATACATAAGAGAGGGGAACTTCTTAACAAAGCGCGCGCCGTGTAAATTCCTAGTTGGGCTATCTTTAGTAACCAAACGCAATTTAAATTCGCTTTACCCTACTCCCGATCCCGTGCGTCATCAACTTGCGCCCGCGCTCTTTGATTTCATCACTAAAAACGAAACAGAAATAGTGCGCGTGTGCAAGGTAATGACGCACAGGAGTAGGATGGTGTCTTGATACTTACTGATGGTCTATCATAAATCTTGCACTCTGATTGGCTGATCTACTTTTACTAGCTGTCTATTAGTGATATAGCACTAGTAGCGAAAAAAAGCCGGTCTTAAAAAACAGAAACACTGGCGGCTATCTTGCGTTTTCAATGTAATTTCAAAATTGTTGGTATTCATTTGTTTGCTTACAAGTAGGGTTTAGACAATACTCTAAAGCAATACTCTCAATTCAAGTTCGCCTTTGCTCAGTCTTAGCCTCGATTGTGTAAAAGTGTGATTTTTTTATTAAGGTCCATGGTATACTACGGAACAATACGAGTATGAGAATATATATGAACTACGTACTCATACTGCGGTTGTAATAAACGATATGAGTTGAGTTGAGATTTTTTTTTGAGTTTAAGATTCCACGGGTTTTAGATGAAAAGCTGAATATTATAAGCCCTTTTGGTCTACGAGTTGGGCTTTGGATTAAATTGCTGGTTTTTAATGATATTCTTAAATCAAGGTACATCAAGACTCAGAAAGATGCAGAAGACCCTAAAGTTGTCACCTTAAAAGTTTATAACCGAGATATGGAATCAGCTGATTCGTTCGGTGCAGTAAGTACCATCTAGCATAAACAGCAGTCACTGTGCTCTATGAGAGAAGTTAGACTGTCAGTAACAGTCCCTCCCCCTCCCCCCAATAAAAATCGTACCTTAAAAAATTCTGGTCTTATTTTGTTCCAGTCAAAGTCCTTGTTTTTAAAACGTTTAACGAAAATCCCCCAGCCCTCCCCCCCCCAAATGAATAAAATAACATAAAAAACAAAAAATTACCTTAAAAGATTCTGGTCTTACTTTGTTCCAGTCAAAGTCCTTCGCCATTTCCAATTTCGATGATACGTCGGCTGTTGTGAAGATGTCGCTCGAACAATTCGAGATTCAGGTATACATACAATAAAATTATATTTAGTATATTTTTATTATATTTTCATTATATTTTTGCAAGATCCTCATTGTGCAAATAGTTGGAAAGTACAGCTATTTGAGCAAGCCCGTACCGCTCGGAACGAGTTACATGATTGGATTAAAAAACAATAGATTGGTCATCCAAACAATACTGAGCACTAAACCTAACCTTACGAAAGCGGTACTGTACTTAGGGAGTAATGAAAATGCAGCTATCGAGCGGTACTGGATTACTCAGCTATTTCAAAAACGGTTGTGAAGGTTTGTTTGCAAGTTGCATGCTGCATACCAAGCTTGAAATGTGTTTTAGATTATGCAAAATACAAAAACCAAAACCAAAACCAAAAAATACACAAAAAAAGAATAGAAGAAGGGAAAGAGAAAAAAAAAAAAAAAAGAAAAAAGAAAAAGAAAAAAATACCGGAAAAACGTGCAGGCAAAGTTTGGGGRAAATCCGTATAGTCGTGATCTCTCGTTGATTGCATTCACATTGCCCATAGTGCATTTCGGGTTTAAAATACGACATGCAACAAAATCTTCACCAACCTTTTTTTATAAAATGTTTTAAAATGCATGCAATATGCAACAACAAATATCAATAAAAAGGCAAACTAGGATATTTGGCTTGCAAATTTTCTTTCTTCCATGCACTAGCTTCCTATGGTTCCATCTATGGCAATAAGGGTTAAAGTAGCAAAATACAGTATCATCATCGTCATGATTATTGTCATCATCACTACAATTGCCATAATTATCATCACCTTAACCTTTTTAAGAATAAACTATTATCTTTCTTGCTGTATATTGAGCGAGATATTTTGATTTTCAGACTGATGATGCTAGTGAGTACCATTTATGGGTTTTATCTGGCAAGGAAAATTGTGCATATCCTTTACTTGGTATGTGCTTGTCTTCTTATGGATTGTTGTATTTGTAAAGCATGTAACGTATGAAATGTTTATTCTTAAAGAGTTGATCTCATTGAAAAAAATCCATTACGCAAGTGTGGTGTGTTTTATGATCCGAGTTGGTAACCCCAGGGGGGAGTGGAGGGGGAGATATAGTCCTGTTAAAAAGTTGATGTGAAGTTTCTCGAACATGTTTTGCTTTGAATTAATTTAAAACCACATATGAATGTCTCCCTATTCATGTGACGTCATAGCCGCCATTTTGAATCACTTTGACAAAAGATCGATTTGGTTTTGGTTTATTTTGTCATGTCAACCAACATGGCTGCCACGTCTTTTGTCCATTTATTCTCATGGGAAGAGAGGCACGTCACCAATTCTTTAATTCCACGTTACGGCCATGTTTATGCTACTCAGCGAAAAATTTCTCATTAGCATCCATCGTAATTCGCACCAAGATGGCCGCCATGTTTTTTTCTTTTGACACTCTTGGGATATGCTTGCAACCCAGCAATAGTGTCCCGTGTAACCAACATGGCAGTCACGTCTTTTGTCTTTTCATGCGCGTCATCAATCAAAATACTAAATACAATATCATCGAATACAAACTGGTTTGACATATTGTTTGTCATTGTTATTTTAAGGTCATGAGTTCCCTTTTGCCATCAAGATGAACCACATAAGAGAGGCGTCTACTTCAGATGAGTATGGCGGGAACATTTTTGACTTTGATCAACAGCTTCCGTCCATGGATCCCCTATCACCTAGTACGCAGTGTCAGTTTATTCTTACCAAAAGTAAAAAAACATCCAAAGTGTCTTCAGTTGGTAAGAACTAAGCTGGATTATACGAATAGCACATAACTAACAACTGCTTCATTTCACTATTACGTTACATTAAAACGAATTGTTTTTGACGCAAAGAATTATAGTTGTGGAAGGCAGACAAAACAGCAACAACTAAAAGTGAACTGCGAAAAAAAATTTTTTTTTTTAGAATTTAGAAAAGCAATAGTGGCCCTCTGGATACCAGCGTTTTGGCTAAATGGACCACCTTAACTCGAATAAAGGTTACTTAACAATTTTTCACTAAGTGAATATTGGTGAATATTTAACGAGACGTAATTGAAATACGTAGATATCGTAGAATAAACAACATTTTCTAAAACGCTCGAAAACCAGACGCATCAAAGCTTTCAATTCAGCTGCAGAGTAAAATTAGCCCAAATTCTTATTGTTATTCATCATTCCCMCCCCCCCCCCCACCCCCTTATGACAGGCTGTGACGTCATAGTGAAATAGGGCAAATTGGTATCATTTAATGTATGTGTGACCTTTGAAAGTCCTTGTTTTGCTTTCCGCCTTCCATACGTCTTGCGCACTTGCACTTAATTTTTTGGACACTATTCTCGCTGGGGAAATCTTTTGGAGACCAAAACCACAACATTCTCAAGTGGATTATTTGTTCTCGTGGTATGTAATGCCGCAGCTCCCTAGAGAATATATCACTATTTATATGCTGATGTTATGGTGTTAATTGTTGAATGTCTAGAAGGGCAACAGTCTTCACGGAAGTGGAAGAACCCGATCAAAAAGTCCCCAATCATAAACTGGGCGATGCATAAAAAGACGACAGGTTCTAAAAATCAAAATTCTGACTCACAGTCACCGCCAGCAGGAAAGTGAGTAAAACTAGTATTTAGAACTATACACCAAAGAGAAAAAAACGCTGTCTTAATGAATATAGGTTCGATCAACGAAGCTAAGACCGAAGGGTATTCCGGGTAAACAGTTAATGACGCTAATATTATGCATATCGTACTCTCAAACATTGATTCAAGTTACCGAACAAAGCATTTTGTCACTCTTCATGCATGTGTCTGTATACAAACACTCTACAAATGCCCACTATATCAACTACACAGAATACCACTTGGGCTTAGCTTTGTTGATTTTACTTTTTCAACCCGACGACGTTTTTTCAATGTGGTATATACACTACTTACTGCTAGACCAAGGAAATATACTATAGACACATTTCGCATCGCATACAAATCCAAAAGTGTAATTGATGGTGCTATTTGCTTAATGTGAAGTTCAAGTGAATGGAAGCCGAAGTTGTGCATGCATTTTATCCGCATTCCGCCAGTGTTCCGTTTTGAGAGTACCTATTGTAGCTCAGAAACGTTTCCCTTCACTTAGCAGGCAGCCGCTCTATTAGCCATTCCGAGATAGAAATAGAGATATGACCAATCTGACTTTATTCTTCACTTGACTCTGAAGATGACTTCCGCTCAGGTTGTCGAAACGTCAGTCACATCAAACAGTTCTTCTCAGGATTACAGCCATCCGGATGATCATAATACTTCGATAAACATAGAGGGGAAAACTGGGTCGAGTTGCAATTGTGGAACTGGTTTATGGGACATATTCAAGATGGCGTCTGTTTCGTACCTTAAAACAATCCCAGAATTCGCTGCAATACCGACTCGATCCGGTTTTTCCCTCWACCTCGAAGTAGTTAATTCATCTAGTTAGTGCTATTAATTAATACAATGTGACTAAGTTTGTATCTTTATCATAGGTTATTCGAGTTGCCTTTAGACGTGTTGTGTACGGAAGAAGAACCTGTGCCAAAACCAATACAGGACATCCTAAGACACATGTTTCGTTATGGTCCTGGGGTCAATGGTATTTTTCGTAAGTCAGCAAGTGCCAAAAGGGCTAAGGAAATTAAGCTTGACCTTGATTCAGGTAAAGTAAATGTTCAATTACCTGATGGTTATAGCTCATCTAATTCGTCTTGGTATAATACACCTTATTCGAGTTCCAAATCGACCCTTCTCAAAATTGTCTTGAATCCTATATAAAAAAGGGCGGTGATCCTCGTTGGAAATTTTGACCCCTAACCGGGTACCTGGATCTTGTCCAGGTGGGTGTTGCAACGGATAATTTTTACCCCTAAAAGGTACCAATTATCTATGATCTAAATGACAGTAGTCAGATAATGAAGAGTAAATGAATATTCTGAATTACAACTGCCAATTCTGACTGTTATCAGATAATCTTAGGTATCGTATTGCCTCAAAAACACCCAGAGATACTGGCTTACTCTCTGGTGGTCCTTTTGGATTTGTGACACCCTAAGAGGCACCAAATTGCCGATTTGGAGCCCTAAGAGGTACGACGAGCATGTCCATGCAGATTTGAAACCCTAGAACGATGAGCATATCCGCCCTTTTCCAATCGGAGTCCCCTCCCCCCCCCCCTCCCCCTGGGTAAGGTCTAGTACGTATAATCATTCGTTTACATTTGATACTAAAGGACAGATAATATATTGCATCAAATATTTTATTGCAGGAAAAGAAGTATTATTCGAAGAAGTATCTGTTGTTATTACGGCTTCTATCTTAAAGGTTTGTAAAAATTGTTCAGGCCTCTGAAGACTTCTTTTCTGCTTGCGCAAGCTTCGCCCGTCTCACCTAGTATAATATTGCAATGACATAGCGTCTATACTAGGTTTTTTCAACTCGAAACGTGGTACACGAGGTGCAAACGCAATACCGAAATGTTTTTTTCTTTTCGCATTTGCGTTTCACGTGTAACATTGCTTGCGTTCGCACTTGCGTTGCTCGTGTGAACCACGCTATAATATGTGGACCACTTATTCGATACATAAAAAAGTGGCGTATGACAAGTTTACCCAAAAATGGTTGTCCAAAAAATCAGTAAGATGATGATGCATTCTGGGTGATACAAGAAGCTTACAAACCTCTTTGTTAGACTTTATTCTCTTAAATGTTTTAGGAATTTCTTCGAAGACTTCCCGATTCTATACTGGATAGCGATGACTACGAGGAGTTAATTGCAACCAATAACATAGAAGATCGGGACGAGCGAATAAAGCAAATTAAATGGTACGTACTTTAAAGGAATCGTGAAATTCGCTGTATACGTTTACCAGTWACTTTCATATCCTAAGCAATATGTACTGTTTCATAAAAATAGCCACGCAGAAAGGGGCAAAAGGTATACGTTTACCAGTAACTTTCATATCCTAAGCAATATGTACTATTTCATAAAAATAGCCACGCAGAAAGGGGCAARAGATATAAAAGTGCGGCTGTCAAGAAGTATGGTAGTGGAAATGTTTCGCATCTTAGCACTTTAAAGTAAATGTTTGCAATAGGCCCTTTGCACTGACTTAACGGTCACGTGTCTGTACTGGTGAGCAAAATTTTGGTTTTTATTTTAAATTGGTGATTCTTTTTAGCTACTTGTAAAGAACTGAATGAAACGATGTGTAACCAGTGTGTTACGAAATGCAGTTCTATTACGATCTCTCGAAACAGGTTGTAAAAAGTTTGTTTGCTCACCAGTATATTTCACCCATGGGAATCAAGATGTTCATTCATTTGCTCTCAGTGAATTAATCAGCACGTGATTACTGAGCTGCAAAGTGCCTGTTTACCAAAGCAGCTTAGACTAAGGTCAAACATCTAAATCTTGCTCAAGAGGCTTTGCACCATCACATGATGGCATGCAGCCATGGTAGCAGGTACAGCAAAAATGTAAACTAGATTCAACTGTTTCTGCCTCCTGTCATGGCTGCCATCACGTGATGGTGCAAAGCCTTTGTTGGTCATTTCGAGATAGAGGGAAAACCTGGGTCGAGTAAGCATTGCTGTGCATCATGGGACTCTTTTAGGGGACGTTTACAAAATGGCGTCTATTTCGTCCTCTAAAAAGATCCCAAGATGCACTACTTTTCCAACTCGGAATGGCTAATATGAGCCAAAATATAATACTTCCCATTGGAATATAAAGAAAAAACTTCAACCAATGATCATTAAACCCTTAAAGGTTATTCCATGGAAGTTTCAGCCAAATTAAATTTCGGAAGATTTTCGTGCTATTCCCCCTTTAAGACCGCCTTGTTATCCATCGTTTAAATGCGGTACGCATTTTGTGAAGTTCGACGTACGATTGACCTTATTCTTAAGGCCGGTTTAGACGGTACGATTTTCGCCAACAACTATCCTATACAACACGCTCGCGCCATCCTACAACTCGTGTCGTACCTACGACAGACGCGAGCGTGTTGTATACGATAATTGTAGGCGAAAATCGTACCGTCTAAACCGGCCTTTAGAGAAACACTCCAACGCCAAGAAATACCGTAATTCCTAATCAACTTAATTCTTACCTTGCTTTTGTTTTTTTTTAGGTTTCTACAAAACTTAAATGTCTACAACTACGAAATTCTCAAGCGATTTATGTGCGTCTTATATCACATCGCCGAGAACTCGAATATCAACAGCATGAATGCGTACAATTTGGCGGTTTGTGTTGCACCCAGCATGCTTTGGCCGCCCAAGGGATCAAATATTGCAGCTACAGAGCAATCAAGTGACGTCCCGCCTTTCGTTCAATTCTTGATAGAGAATTGTATTGAAATCTTTGGTGAGGATGTTGTAACAATCCTGGGCGATCGTAGTGAAATAGTTTTAAATCAAGAACCACTTGAACCGGAAAACGGTATCGAAATACAAACTTTTAATAGGCAGTCATCTACGGACGATGGCTTGGAATCACCTGAGCCTCTCAGCCCGAGAAATGAGCGCAGCTCGTTAAACCTTAGTGACTCGAACTTGTACAATGCTGATGCAAGATCAAAAAATCTCTTATCAGCAGGTATACCAGAACGAAATAGTGTTAGTACGCCGAGTTCACCGTGTGTATCGCCTAATTCTTCGCCTAAACTTCGAAGACCAAATATTGAAATGTCTAATCAACTACGAGATGCCTTTTTTGAACCCAATTCACRCAACAGTGTTCTTGATGGCCGACGAAGTTCAGAACCATCAGAACTTAACTCCGAATCTACGAAAATGAAGATAAAAGGCTATAGGAAAATGCCTCGGTCTCGTCGTCAACTAAGTAGTACGACTACTAGTGCGGAATTAATTGAACATAAACAACCAAAAACTACGCCAAGTGGGAAAAAGCTAGAAACTGCGGTACTACGACGAGCTCATTCTCCTTTGACTGTCCAGGCGCTGCCTGTTGATGCAAATATTGCTAAACCAATCCCAAAATACTGTCCTTCATCTTCTGTGATAACAACTGCTAATCGTATTCCACCTGTTAAATATGCTGTAAGAACACAAGCATTAGCAAGTAATGGTAGTGAAGATCGTGGAGCGTCGCCGGATATTTCTAGTATGCGCTCTCCTTCGCCGACTTTAACGCCTGACCAAGTGTTTCAAGCTGTTGATCGACGAAGACAGCCTGCTGCTCCTTCCTACCATCAGCACATGCTACGAAAAATTGGAAGCAAACCAGCTTTCTTTCAAGGTAGAAGTGAATCCTCTGAAACACTTGCTAATGAAAAGAATGCTGTGAAAAACATATCCACGGAAGGAAACGATAGATATGATGACGAATGTAAGACAGACCGCTCTAAGTTTAAACACTTCACTCGCTCATCTAGTATCCCAAGCGATAGAAAATGTCGACCTGAACCTTTAGATCTTTCTCGAAGCGAACCTTGTACGCCCAACTCTCCGTTATCTCCAGTTAAGAAGGAGGAACAAACTTGGCCTGATCACAGGGATGATACAAGCACAAGTTCTGGGGGTTCAAGCACACGTCGACTTGAACACTCGCCTTTTGGTCTCAATTTACACCACAAGAGATCAAGTAGCGACAATATCAAGAAAATACCAAAAGTTCAAACTCAAATCAAACCACAAATTAAAACAGTCAACAGTAGGCAATTGTTACTTAATGGTGGAAACACGCACTTTCCACCGTCGGAGTTTTTTCCACATGAAGCAACCCAAGCAAAGACTCAATGGGGATCTGAAAATCCATCTCATGGTCAGGTAGGTCAAATATCCCCTGGAGCTACAGTCAGCGTACCTCTATATGTGTTTACCCCGTCTGAGAAGCTTCCAGTAGTCGCTCTCCATACCCCAGAGCTAGAAGGAAATCCTTCGGGAATGGCAACTTTATCTACCAGTGCGAGTAGTACAGGGACTTCACCTTCCTTGAGTGGCAGAAAAAGTAGTCATACTTCTTCGTCATCGTCCGTTTCAAGCTCGGATGATCGTTCTAGCGTCGGAGCCGACGTGGCCGTCTCAGAAACGAAGACTAATATCACTCAAATTAGGGACTTGAAAGAGTTGCTTAGTGTTCAAGCGCAAACGAATGGACTCAAAATAAGCCAAGAAACTGCTGAAGAGATAGCTAAAGTCAAGGAAATTCGGGCGTCTTCAGATTCACGTTTGCATTCTGGGTACACTTCTCCTAGCCATGATGATATGGAAAAAATGCTTTTCACCGAAGAATCCTATGTGTAATATGAATACTTATGTAAAAAATAGAAATAGTAAGAAAGTGGTGGTCAGGACGGGAAGACAGTGAGATGTCCATGCTTCTCGGTGTGGCTCCCTTGGGATATGATGTGGCGTAGCAAAAAGGATTTGTTAAATACGCAGATAATGTCCCTTGATTCAAATGTGCCACTCTTGTTGTTGCACCCAATTCATGATTACACGACCACAACAGCCAAATATAGGCTTTGCACTTCACGTGATGGCAGTCATGACAGGAGACAGGAACGATGGGCTTTTCTCAAAATTATCGAGGCTTATATCGAGGCTTATATGAAAACCCCCCAACAATCACACTTTTACTCGATGGAGGTTGTGATATTTCCCTTGTATTTCCACGTTACATTTAAGATAATTTTAAGAAGAGTTCATTGAATCTGGTTTAATATGATTTACAATAGAAAGTATTCAGTTTCCCAAGATTCTGTTGTTGTGCTTCCTGTCATGGTTGCCATCACGTGACAGTTCTAAGTCTTTATACATAAAGGTCTTTGGCTTCCAAAATGTGTTAACACAGAGTGCTTGAATATCTTATTAACGGGAGCCCAAAGCGCTGAAGTTGTATCCAATTTTTTAGCCAATGTCTGGGTCACGTGAGTATGAATATGGGTAAGATAACTGGAATTGCATAATTGTGACTTTAAGTCATATTGACTTATTTCACCCAGATTGTAGACAAAAAACGTCAAAAGATGTACAAAGGAATACTTATACGAATAACAAATGATTATATAAAGAATGCCAGTCAGATTTTAGAAACCAATCAGGTCTACGAGGGCGTGGTTTGGTTTCACCAAGTTCAGGGTCATATTTTTTAGATGATGGAAGTAGTAATTGAAACTAAGAAGCAAACCTTAGAATAGACACATACCTGATATTTGTCGGTGACATTGAAATATGCAATTAGAAGTATAAGGATAATAAAGGCTATGTATGTGTAATAATACGTAGTACATTACAAACACTAAAAGTGTGCAACATAAATAATGTCACTAAATAGTGTTATTTTTAGCTAATTATATTAGTTTCTTTTGTTTAATTAGTGCTATTTACTGCTAAATAGTGATAACTATTGCACACATTTAGTGTTTGTACTCTACCTAATAGCTACGGCTGAGTTGCAGCGCTACTCAAATATAGGCGTTAGCCCCCCTCCCCCCCTTTTCATAATCACGATATCAAATCTGCCCAAGATGTCTGGGTTTTTGGCTTCCGTCGATCAAAACTATTACTAGCTCAGGCCGTTGAAAATTTTGATTGAAGGAGGGCCAGTCCGACCAAAAACCCAGACGACTCGAATGATAGCAAGTTGTCTGCCATGTAATATAGTCCTCTAGTTTGGGTGTAATGTTTTCCCACTCGTGCCATTCCCTAGAGTATCATTTCTTTATTTAACGGCTGCACTTGAATATGGATACAACTCAAAAAAAAGAATCTTTTTCTCAAAAGAATGACACGTGAAATAGGAAAACATTTTGCCTAAGCAAGAGGGTCTACTATGAAGATTAGTATAAAAGGAAAACGGCTTGTATGCGTCACCAAACAAAAATCGAACCAAGAAAGACAACTTTTTTAGAATAAATAAATAGACTTTACAAATAGCGATAAAACGTATATATAAAATATATTGAATATAGAAACTTAATAAAGAATTTTGATATTTTCTGTATCAGTTCTAGGTTTTCTTCCAATCAAATCGATTCACCCAACCAACCATCATTGACCCTCGCTCGGTCGCTTTATAGGACTATGACTTTAAATCGAAAATGCATAAGGGTGATCAATAAACTTGATTTGTTACAGAAATTAACAGACTTCGATTTGACCCTCGTAACGCGCCCTTCAAAGTATCCTCACGGTCAAACGCCTTCTCCGGCCTCAGTCGAAATAGACCGCAAATGAAATTATCGGTACACTATTTTGTTGAGTATATAGAAATTTGTCTTCTGTTTACTATTGATGGGTTGCAAGCATTCCCAAGAGAGTCAAAAGACAAAAGCATGGCGGCCATTGTGGTGCCGTTAACAATGGATGCTAATGAGTAATCTGTTGTTAAATGGCACCAACATGGCCGCGATGACGTAACGTGCAATCGAAGAATATTCATATCGAGAATTTCAATTCTGTTTGAATTTAAAAACAGTAAGATATCAGTTTACAAAGTTACTGATTATAGAGGAAGCGAACTGTTATAATATTTTGGTGTGACTGCTTTTATCAAATGCTTGCAATAAAGCCTTCAAATAACGAGAGAAACTACCTATACTCAAGTTTTTAAGATTCAGTGATGATATAGTCAAATAGTCAGTTTTAGACCTTTGAATATTTTGTTCTAAAAAAGGTCAATCTCAAGTTGCTATGGAAACCACGCACGAGCGTTTTAAGATTCTTGGCATAAATTTAACTCATTTGGATTTTTTCGTGCATATTACTGTGCTAATTTGTAATTAAATATTTCACAAATATAATAAAATAATAGGATAGATAAAATGAATAGAATTACGAACCGCTGAAATTCGAGAATCTCCAAGGTTCTCGACAACCTCGGGACCGCATGAATATTCTACACTTTTCAAATTGTAAAATGATAAAGTTGGGTAAAACACAGGCAGTCCAAACAAGGTTCCGCTGTGTATGGTTTATAAGGGAATGTATGGGAGTTATGTATATCATGTAAAGATACTGCAGTGGATTTTGAAAAAAAAACACTAAACGGCCCCAAATCGCGCTGAAACTTCGCAAGAAATTTGAACGAGGTACAAGCAACGACTGCATGTATCAAGTTTTGAAACAAATTGTTGAGTGAAACATTTCATTGCAGCATCTTCATGATAACTCCCGTACATAATAAGTTCATTGCTTTCTAGCTATTTCTTGCATGTTCTTAGAAAATTGGCTTCAATTCTGCATTTGTGGGCCTTAATCCATATGCGATGTTCAGGCTAGAGTGAGACAATCCCACACCTTTAAAGGGGCACTTGGGTGAAAATCGATAAAAATTATTGGAAATGACTTGGAACTTGTTTAAACTTATCTATAGATAGTAGTCAAGCAACATATTTTCTTCACGGTAAAAAGTGGGGGATAAAAATTATCAATTTTATTCAGCATCTAAATCGTGAGTAGATGACGTCATTTACTCAACCCTATTGTTCTTTTTGCTTTTAAACTAAACTTTCTCATCTGCAAGTGACTCCCAGGCTAAAAATTTTACTAGCCATGTTTACATAGTCATAATTGAGGGCATATTATCCTCAAATACTTCAATTATTCGGACTTTCAAAAACTGGGGCGTTTTCATCCAAGTGCCCCTTTCTAAAAAACCTTTCAAATTCGCTGTTATAGATAAATGGGTTACATAACCCCACACTGTCATGAAGAGAGAGAAAGAAAGAGCTTAAATCTGATCCGCCATGCACACGTTATTTTGCAACCATTCTCAAAAGAGCCTCAAGACAAAGCAATGGCGTCCATGTTGTTCATGGTATAAACAAAGAACGCAAGTGAGGAATCTTTTGTTAAATTCCATCAACATGGCGGTGATGATGTAACGTACAAAATATCCTCATGCATGAATACTTTGTGAATAATCCTTCCCTTCTTATATAAAGCCTGTGTTAAGTTTTTATCATCACTTGATTTCCTTTAGCTGCGGAAGACGAGGTTTATCTTTACGTCGAGCAACATGATCCTTTTGACGTTTCTTGTGGTTCTTCTTGTGACTGAGAATAATGCTGGCAAGTGTAGGTTTGTTATTTGACAAACTTGATGTCTTTAAATTGTTTAACCTCGGTTCGGAAATCTTGAAATTCGTATCGATGTATTAGATTCCTGGACATGGCATAACATAAGAGGTTTTTTGGGTCTGTACCTTGGTTCGAGGGTCTAGTTCCGAGTTTTTCAGTTTTCCTCTCTCCTATATACTTATAGCTAGCGCTAAATTCTAAATAGATCTGTGATGAGATAGCCATGCCCTGACTTTGATCAGCATACAGAGCCCCGGGGTGTTCCAGGGTTCAGTCTGTGAGTTAGTCATGCTCTGATTTTGATCATCCCGGAATGGGTTGCTTCAGGCTAGGGATCGATCTGTTAGTCAACCTTGCCCCGACTTAGGCTTACATCAGCCCAGAGGTTGTTTCAAGGTATTGATGAAATCTGAAGGCATCTTTTTAGAGTTTTAAGTGCATTTCATGTAATTGTTCTACCGGTAGGTTCGAGAACATTGACAACTGCCGGGGGATACTGTGCCTTGCCGTTCACCTACAAGGGTGTGGTATACAGGAGCTGCACTACCAAAGATCACAACCGTCCCTGGTGCTCTACGACATCTAAATACAACAGTGATAAAATGTGGGGAAACTGTGCAGGTATATCATATGTTATTGTTCTCTGATAGATTCGGCGAGACGAGCCATATGGAACTATAATAAACACCGTTAATATTGGTAATTACATTGACATTTTCAAGAACAGACTTAAGATTTTCAAAGATTTTAAATTTTACACATGATTTTCGAGAACAGATTAATCAAAGACGTGTATGCCTATGAATCCCCATAGTTACCGTTGCTATGTCCCACAAGCTTAACAAATTCTCTAGAATATCTCAGAATTTAAATCCCTGATCGAGGAAAATCGATTATGAATTTGTTTCAATAGTTGTTTGTGCTGCAAAARGAGTATAAAATTGCCTCGTAATCCTTGTATTTTGTCTGGACCGTAGAATATTACTTTCAATTTAAGGCTTCAAGAAGGTTTACAAAAACCGCTCACTTATCGGCTGTCACTGACGAATTTTGCTTTTTTCCTCAGCTCATACATTCAAAATACTTTCATTCTTATCTCTAGGGTTCACGTCTTCCGGAGTAAAAACAACCTCGAGAGAATACTGTGTCTTTCCATTCATTTTCGAAGATGTGGTGTACAAGAGCTGTACTTCCAAGGGCCAACATCGTCCCTGGTGCTCTACAACAGTCAACTTCGACAAAGATGAAAAGCGGGGAAACTGTGCGGGTAAAAATAAAGCTAAAACATTATCTTTGATATTTCATTAACTTCACGAAGAGGCGCTTTGAATTCCGCCCGCGATAATCCCCGACAGAAGCTATTTGCCAAAACCACAAGTCTTTTCGATATCGTTACGCGGTTTTTGTAAGTGACTTTTACAACTTGTATAGAGTATTGGGGATTTTGCCTCCGTAACTTGGACCTTTTTGATGATAACGAAGTTAAGCGATAAAATATTATCAAATAACTTTAACTACGTTTCGAAGTTTCAAGAACATTAACTTTTTAAAGAAATGCTCGTCAAAATGGGATTGTTTGATTAATGAAATGTTGTTTATTAACAAACTGAAACCTAGCTTAAATATTCAAAGTGACTCTATTTGGGCTAAAGTATTTTATTAGTGTTTTATTTTTCTTTCTTTGTTCGCCATTTTATTGTACAACTTAAATTACATTCGTTCTTCGTATTTACACCTTTTTATACTCATTATTATTCGTGTATATAAGTCAACGTTTTCTCAGTTTTATCACTTGATAATGACGTTCAGGTAAACGTTGTGTAATGTTATTCATTAGTAATATTTTATCGCTTTACTTCATCATCAAAATCTACAAAAAAGTAACTTGAACCGTCATTATTTTGAAGAGCTGGGTGACAGAAACATTAAAAAATGCTTAGTTTTCTTTCCTTTTGAACAAGAGCTGTTTACTGAGCCCAAAATTTAATACATTCACATGTGAATGAAAATTTGAATAGCAGGCGAAGAATTGTTCAATTCATTAGCACATTCCTGAGGAGAGAACCTAGATCTTTGTCATATCAGTATGTACTTTTGTTGCAGGTTTCGCCTCATCTGGCGTGAAGACACTTGATGGAGAGTACTGTGTCTTTCCCTTTACGTATTTTGGAGTAGAGTACAAAAGCTRTATTACCAAGAATAGAAGCAGCCCTTGGTGTTCTACTACAGCTAAATACAACAAGGACTACAAGAGTGGAACGTGTGCAGGTACAGACAAATTATATATACAAACGACATATAGAGTACAAACACTATAAGTGTGTAACATAGATACCACTAAATACTGCCAAATTATGTGAATCCTATTGTTTTCGATTGTTTAATTAGCAATGATTTACTACTAAATAGTGCAAAGTGTTGCGCACTTTTAGTGTTTGTACTCTAAAAACGTTTCTAGTTTTAAGTCACGTGGAAATACTGCTTTTTCTTTTTGGACAGGATTTTATTCCGGTGTGAAAACCACCTCAGGTGAAGGCTGTGCTTTTCTTTTCGTCTAACGGGGACATAGCTACAACACGTGTATTACGAAAAACCACAGCCGTCGTTGGTGTGCTACCACTACAAACTACGACAAGGACAAGAAATGGGGCAACTGTGCCTAAGTAAGGTGAGAATAAACCTCGACACTTTCAAGCGGTTTTCGTATGAGTGGGAAACGATATGCAAAATTCGTTGTGATTGGCTTAATTTACTTGGAGACAATGGAAACCATTTCAGTGCTACGGCATGACGTACCGTGTACTAGCCTTAAGTCAGTAGTTTACGTTTAGCACTCATTCGATAATCATTCAAGCTCAAAGTATAAAATACTTTAAGTAGAAATTAGATTGTCGTTCGTAAAGTTCTTGGGATTTTGTTGCAGTATCTTAAAAAGGTATAAAATCAAGAGATTCAGTGTTAGGGAACGGAGTTCCTACTTGCTTTTGAAGTAGTATACTTGAAAGAAACGTATTCGATTCGATGCGGAACTTTTCCAAAGCTTTTTGCAGCACCCTGGTAGCCGAACTCGAATAACTCGAGATCTTTTCAACACTCGAAGATAAATTTCGTATCGCCGCGCACCCATGTAATATCCTCTATCTAACATGTGAATCTGCCTTTCGTATGTCTGTGRATTTAAATGGCTTAAGCACATAATTAATCTACCCATATTGGTCTGCTGGTGTATTTTGGAAACCTTTTCCACTCACCCGTTTGACAATGTACTGTTTAATCATTCATTTAATATCGTTTTCTCATATTTTTCAGTTCACAGATCTTCTTCAAGAGATTACCGGATCGTGTGGTTAGATCGACACCTAAAGATATAAATGACAAAACTTACTATAAAGTTGTGAACAATTTTGTTTGAAAATAAAATACATGAAGAAAGCCCAGTTGGAAAAAGTGATTGTTTATAACAATTATTTGCCTTTGCTTCATAATGAGCCTCTTTACTTTAGCTCAAATGGTAGAGCTCGCCCCATATAAGGGAATCCGGAATCCACGAAATTTAAGGTTTTGGAATCCAGTTCATAATGGAATCTGAAATCCACCATTTTGGGATCCGGAATCCGCTAGTTTGAAATTMAAAGTATACACTCAAATGCTATCGCCTCGACCTAGACTGAACCGATGTAGCCCCTCCCCCACTGTGTAATATCTCCACCAAGAATATCTGTCATCGGATGCTGATTTAATTGTTAGACGATTTTACTTATAATGGCAAGTATATCAAATATAATTTTCAGAGAAAGTAYCTGAAAATTAACGGTCCGGAATCCGAAATACAAAAGTTTTGGAATCCGGAATCCAGCGCTTGGAATCCGTAATCCAGAGTCCCGGAATCCAGAATCCAGCGCTTGCAATCAGGAATCCACCATAAGTCCGGATTCCCTTACATGGGACGATAGAGCGCTCGCTTAGCATGCAAGAGGTACCGGGATCGATAACCGGATTCTCTAAGTTCAGTAAACCTTTGCATGAACTGTTCTTCTATAGCCCAGAGGTCCAAGGATTAAAACCTTGCTCTGCTAACCACTCTTTTTATATGCTTCTATTTTTTCTTTTCTTCTTTTTGCTCCTCTTCATCAAATGTTTGGCCTGGTATCCAAGCGCAAAAGTTCAGGATGAGTTTGACCACTCTCGTACCCAGAGCCCTTATTTCTTACTGCGCATGCTCGACGAAATAATTGGGCTCTGGAAAACTCCAATATTTCCTGTGCTGTGATTGGTTCTCGAGAACAAAGGAAGATACCGGAAGTAAAAATTACAGTACTAGGGAAAATAAACAAGATGGCGTCTCGAATTAAGTACAACCAAAAAAGCCTGTAGGGTCGGATTTTTCAAAACTTGCCGGTTTTGTAATGGAAATTGTATTGATGTCCATCCAATAGATATTTTCGGATTTAATTTAACTGAAAACCATCTTCAAAACCTAATTTTCCAAGCGCAAATTCACATGCTCGTTAAACATCGTCCGCCATTTTGAATTTACCTAGTCTGTCATAATGCGCATGTGCGAGAAACCCAGAATCTGGGTCTTCCGGTTTGGAGTTTTCCAGAGCCCAATTATTTCGTCGAGCATGCGCAGTAAGAAATAAGGGCTCTGGGTACGAGATTGGAGTTTGACCAATGTCATTTTTGGCGCATTCGCAATTTTCCGGAAGTGAAATATAATCAATCTGAAAATCATGCTTTCAAACAGTTCTGTATTTAATTCTGATCAAAATAAAAATTAGAAATCGGGAATATAATTTTTTATTTCGTTTTTGGCAAGTATTTGAACGCATGCGCTTTTATACCGGAAGTCTAAGAAATCCTGGTCTCAAAAACTGGGTTATTCCAATGTCGTCGTTCTTCTCCGCAGGCCAGAGGAAACGCAGGCTCTGGGTACTAGATTATTGGAGTTTGATCGGCCAAACGACACAGGTTTATTAATCAARTTTATTCCCTTCACAGGTTTACTCATCTACACACTCCTTTCACTCCACCTTTATTTTTACGACGTTTTTWAAAAAATATGTCGAAACACCTACCACCCAGCTTAACCATGAGAAAGTAGCACATCTTTGCTTATTATTTTTCAATCCAGTGCCTTTGTAGCTCAGTGGTTAGAGCACTGGTCTAGTAAACCAGGGGTCGAGAGTTCGAGTCTCTCCAAAGGCTTAGAAATATTTTTGAGTATTTTTACACTTTTTGTATGTAATTTCCAAGAGCACTTCCCAAATATCAAGAGCAAATATTTCAATATTAAGACGTTTGCAGGGGAGGGGGAGGAGGAGGTGCAGCCTCTCCACTTTTTGCGCCAAAAATACGAATACAAATCGAAAAAACTTTTCCCAAAAAAAAATTGGATTGAGAATATGCTAAAATTTTCAAATGCCAGACCCCCCCCACAACTTTTCAATATGCTCCGCGGTCCCTTTTAACTCATACATAACGAGTAAAGTTTTAGCCGAATTAAAAGTAGACTAGYAATTCACAAGACAAACAAAATTTTTTTTAGGATTATTGTCAGTGAAGACYTTCCATATTTTAAATAAATGTTGGATGCCACGTACGCAGCTTATACTCACGAATAATCAAATGAAAAACCCACCTACAGCAATAGTCCCATTTCTACAACACCCTAAACATATGTTATTGGGCTCCCTGTGGTCCTTCCCATCTCACCTTTGGTGACTGTGCTTAATTATTTTCGCAAATATCCTGTTATTTTGGTCGATATTCCTACACAAACAGATTGTTTTCTATCAACTGATACGTCAGGTAAGTCGGTAAGGATGTATTGCGTTGTTCAGTGGGTATTTAGTGCTGTTCGTAGGATCAAAGTGCTGATGACTCGAGTCATTTGGAAACGACGCTGTCACGAAATAATCTGTAACATCTACGAAGCGAAGATAAATATACCAGTAAATTATAATATAAAAGCATTATTCTATACATTTACGCTTGTTTGCCTGTTCTAGCTTGTCAAACAATTAAATAGTGCAGTGTATTGGAGAACTTTGGTAAAGTGATGCGATTACTGATGCTTTAGTAGTTTACCAAACTGAAGAATATTTAACAGAGCAAAATCATGCTAGGCCATTTTATTGATTAGGAAATGATTTTCATTCAAAGTCTGTTGTCTGGTTCATCTTGTTTTTCCCCTCAGGAAGCCCAAGGTTAAAAAATCTGAGGTAGGACTCTATTACTGATTTATGTAAATAATATGCCAGTGATTATAGAGTGCAAACAATATAACCGTGAAACTTTAGTAATACTAAATAGCACAATTTCATGCAAATTCCATTGTTTTCTATTATTTAATTAGCACTATTTTGTACTATTCAGTAATTAGTGTTTCACGGATTAATTGTTTGCACTATATAGGTATTTTGATATATCAGTCACATTCTTCAGTTTCCCTCCATCCTTAAAAATCAATTTTTAGATTGTAATTTGATCTTTAGGCTTCTAATTAGTTAGAAACTAGCTCTGTAGTGGTTGTCCCTTTATGTAATACAGCTGCCAAAGCTTAATAGATCTTTTATTTGCAAGGTAATTTACCCTGCATTTGTCTCGGCAACCAGGAACTTGATAATTGTATATACTAACAATTTTGTAAAGGGAAAGTATCTTTCTTACTGCTGAAGCTGAAATATCTTAGCTCCATCGCCATTTTCACTGTGTGCTAATAGTGTTCCTTTCATATTTATTTCAGTATTCAAATGGAGTCAGGTAACCATATAAAAAGAGAGGACATGGACTCAGATGAAACAGAGTCAGATTGGTTTGGATATGCTTGTGAATCTGGAGAGATTTTGTTTCATTACAACATTAAGACTGGAGAACACAGATGGAACAGAAATTCTACTCACTGTGAGGTAAG